CTGAACCAGGTGCCAAGACATATGGTTTAACAGATGTTCTAGCAAAAAGCTCTATTCTACGCACCGTGCGAGTGTCCAGTTAAACCGGACATCGATAAGACACTGAAAACCGTATTGGGCTTCTGGGAGCCGCAATTGTTCCCAGCTCAGGAAGCTGTTAAACGCAGCCCGATTATGCAAAAAACCCTATTGCTCTGATATCCCAATTAGATCCACAGAACAAATGCTGGACAATACGTACACTGCTTTCCAGAGTCTTTGTGTACCCAAATGTTATTTATTCTATTCAGCCGATTCTATTTCTCCACTGTCTTAGTAAAGAAAAGCAGCTTAAAACGTTGGGAGCTTTCTCCACACAGAAATCTCCCAAATCCAATGGGCGAACAGCCCCCCCATCACTCCCCACCCCACCCCTGCATTTTCATGTAGCGCCCTGTGTGCGCTATTCTTTCAAATATTTAATACTTAACACGTATCCCTCCCAAGCACAGGATTAACATGCAGAAGTGACTCTTGTTTGCAAGGTTATTTATTGACATAACTCCACTGGAATGCATGGCATTTCACAGGGGCGGGGAAAAACAGAATAAAAAGGTGGCTCTATATGTACTAATTCAGCAAATCAACGTGAACAAAGCAGCAAAGTGCATCAAACGTTAATAAACGAAAGAATCCTTATTCTTTAAGTGTCTTTTCAAAGAAAAACAATTCATAGGCTTTAGAAAAAAAGAAAATCGGCAGAAGTGGGCAACAACTGATCAGTTATGATGTCTATGCATGCTACATTCAATCTTTTAAGATTAAACACACACACACGTTCACCTCCTACAGGAAAGGATTTTTCAGCAAGAACTTCTGCTAACTCCTGAAGCTTATAAGACAGAGCATACCAAAGCATAACAGGTGGAAAAGCGAGGTTACCGCCTTGGGTTTGGGACTCCTATCACACAGTCCAACTGCCTCAGTGTGTACAGTGGCACCACACTACAGCTGCTGGTGTGTGACACATTACAGTGGAAATTTTAAGAGGATTTTTAAAATACTGAGAAAAAACCCTACAGCATTACATTCAGAAAGGGATGACAGGCAAAAAAGATAATACATACCAAGACTGAAATGTATTTCAGAAACAACATCAATGCTCACTTTAAATAAAAACTAAAGACTTTGAAACTCTTTCAGAATTTGCTAATAATTGCAGGTCATAAAGAGAATCCTTCAGCTCACAACTGTAATAAATCTGATAGCAGATGGGCTTCAAAAGGTGAAGAACAAAAAAATTTGAGCTGCGTTTCTGTCCCACTCCCACACCTACTATTCACACTGTCACAAAAGGTGTGTTTCAGATCATCTTGTTCAACCAGTTAAATCTCTTTATCTGTGCAAATATTTGTTTCGTATTAATGCAGCTGCAACTTTTAAAGACTTCTATTATCTTCACTGCTTATCTTTCAGTGCCAGAGCTCTGACTGTCCCAGACCTTGGTCCAGTGGGGCTGCAAAACACAGGGGTGGGAGGGAAGGGGTATGAAAGGGGAAAAGAGACCAGATACAATCTAAAACCAAACAAACAAGAGCAGAATCTGCAGCCATGAAAGTCAGGGGAAGTTCAATTCAATGTTAATTCCTCTTGGTCTGAAATGCTTACAGACGTACATTTATAGAAAATGGGAGTTGATGAAAAGACTGTCATTACAGCAGTAAACACACAGGAAACAGTGTATTGAAATGCTGTGCCTATTTTTATCCATTTTTATTTTCAGACACACAAAGGTATGTGCACTTAATTATATATACACTGAGAAAAACATAAGCATGGAAACGTGCATGCACATAGATCGTCTAGTATATGATCAGGGCTTTCTCCCAATAACTAAAAAAAAAAAAAAATTAAAGTTTACATAGGACACTACAATGAGACATGCTACTGAGATCCACTTTTACTTCACTTCAGGTTGTTCTAATCTTTCCCTCTTCCCTGCTTCTAACCAAACATCCCTATCTTTTTCCACCTGCTGGCACTATTTATATAGGTAATTCAGACATGAATCAAGCTAAAAAATTAAAAAAAAAAAAAAAACAACCCACAAAACCCCCAAAAACCCCAAACCAAAACAAACAGTCCTCCCCACCCCCAACAACAACAACAAAAACCCAATTTGGGCCAAAATCTTTTTCAGCCAGATCACTTTCCTGAACTGACTGACTGGCAAGCTGCAAAAGCTCCAGTGTCAGTGCAGAGAGGGATGAGGAGGGCGAAGCCGAGATTGCAGCAGCTCAGACCGAGCCTGGCTGAAGCAGCCATGGGACTGCACGACTCTGAACACAGAGCAGGGCGGCTGCTAGTTTTCTTTCCTCCTGCTGCTGAATTTACTGTAGCCCCTCTCCGAAACAGAGGGCTGGGACAGCCAGAGAGCACTGGTAGAGTCTGTAATGAAATCTTTGCCTGCACATCTCTATTACTTCAATGCAAGCAAATGAGATCTTAGATCATTTCAGATACAAAAAGCCCTAGTGTCCCAGATTGCACCTCAGATCCTTCCTTATCAAAGAATGTGTTTTAATAGCAAATTGTTTGCTGCTTTTTCCTTTTTTTTTCCAAGGAAATATCTTTTCTCTTTCAATAAGGACATAACCAAAAGCTATTTATTTTATCTAACACAGTGTACTTGGAAAGTGTCTTCTTCCCCACCCCCCCTTCATTTTTCATTTTTGCACTTTTTTTTTTTTCTAATGGCCTTTCTTTTTATGAGAAAAATACATACCTGGAATGTTTCAGCTTAGGGCTCTCAAAAACAATTACTTAGGCATTTGATTTGATCTGCCGGTTCTTCCTTTCTGGGTATTCGGGCTTTATGAATCTCCAGTTTGGTCAAAGGTTAAAGTGAACCTTTTCCAAGTCACACTCTGGAGCCTCACAAGGCCCACACATATCCACCCCGGGTTTTAAGGAAAAGGAGTAAATTCACTATTAGCTGTGCACAACAGCAGTAGCTTGCTGTGTTAGCTAAGGAAGAGAATTCAGAGGGGAAAGTTGCTGATTCACTCTTACGTTGGGCAAGTAGGATGGAGAGGTGGAATGATGAGGGAGGAAGAAAAAAATGGGTCACCTTTAAATTCGTGAAAATTTGGCACTGTTTAAGGGAAAACAAGAAGGGGAACAGAAGTTCAAGTATATAATTTTAGTAGCAAGGTATCTTCAAGAATATCAAGGCACTTCATAAGCACAAGCAAGCCTAGTTATAAACTCAAAGGTACCTTATCTTCCACGCTGTGAGAAATTACCACATCTGTGATCCCCACACACAAAAAAACCAAACCAAACCAAACCACCCATGAAATATATGGAGGAACAAAACATATGTTTTCTGAGTTGTTCTGGCTGCTAACCGGGCTTCTCAGGGGAGTGAAAGTTAGAAAGGATAATCTATCAGAGTTATCTGACTCCGAGGAGTGAGCGATAGGGAAGATTTCCAGCCGGCTGTCTCCATTGGGCCTTTCTGACCCATGATCAACTGAAGGTGGTGCTTCACGGATTTGCTGGTATGCTCCTATTGATATAGTTCTGCCTTTGATATAGCAAAACCCAGCTCAATTTCATTTTGTGTGTTTTGTGTGCCCTATTTGCACACTCAAATCAAACTCCTCCTCCTCAATGAATGCATTACATTTGCTCAATTTAAACAAGTTACTATTCAAAGACATGGAGTACAAATCATTCCTACCGCTGTGATACCTTTTCACTAAAGCAATGCAGTTACTGCTAGATTTGTGTTCCTTTTTTAATGTTGCAGCATATTTGTCCAGTAATACATTTTGCATATCGGATTTTTTCTAATCGCATTCTATCTATTAAAAAAATCTTTAAAATTTTAAGTTTATCACATGCCTGTACGGAACTGTTACTCAAGGTTTGTCAGCTCCATTCTCTATTAAAAGAAAAATCAAACAGATTGAAGTAACTGATTATAGTTCATTTCAAAGTACAACACTTGCCAAAAAATAGATATTTTAAAGTTTTGATTATAGTTCATTTCAAAGTACAATGTTTCCCAAAAAGTATATACTTTACAGTTCTGAAAGTATACAGAAATACACATTTTAAAAAAATAAAGTTTTAAAGGGCATATTTAGAAACCATTCTAAAGGAGTGTTGGTGCTTAAAGTTTATGTATAAACTAAAGCATACACATAAAGGTACACATACAACTGAAGTGATTTTTTAATCCTTATCAAGTGGCAAAATTTAATTTTTTAAGAAGCAACTGTAAAACTTTGCCATCCTTCTTCTTAACTAGTGGTCTTAACTGTAAGTAACCCCATCCCCACACCACAAAGCAAAACGGTTGTTTTGGGGGGATTGTGGTGTTCGTTTCTTCTTTTTTCTTGTTTTTTAGTGAGAAGGGTTATTTCCTTGTTTCAGTCATCTCTTAGATTCTAACATACATACCACTCACAATTACACACAGATAAAAGTTCAAGTCCCTCCTATTATGGAGACAGAGGAAAAGGACATGCAACAGTCCTTTTATGTTGTTCCATTAAATACGCTGCTGAGTAAAACCAATGTGCACACAGAAGTACAGCCACATCCCTCCAGCCACCTGCTTGGACAAAGAATTAGTTGTAATTTATATGATAAAATGATCCTCAAAATGTATGACAGCTGTGTTACATCTGTGTTTTACTAGATCCCAAATGCCAATTATCTGCATTTAATGATAAAAAAAATTTGATAGAGGAGCTGATTTACAAGGAGAAGGCCAACAACGCCTTAAAGACCAACCCTCCTCCACTGTCCACACCGGTTGTTCTAATTTCTAATCCAAGCTGTTTAATATTACAAAACTGATTACAAGTTTCTCCATTTAACAAAGATAAAATTGTATTTAAACTGAATTTTTTACATGCAGAAGAAAAAAAGGCTTAGGAATTTAAATATTTCACCTCCAGAAAGCAGCTTGTCCTCTAATCAAACAGACTTGCATGAGTTGGCCTTACCTGGAGCCATAACTTGTTATTCACTGCATCTCTCCCCGTAGCAATGCATTGAAATGTAGCATTCTGCCCTGCATTGACCTCTACATCCCCCAGCCTCAAGAAATGTGGAGATTTATCTGCAGAGGGGGAAAAGAAAAATTACAAATAACGCTTATTGCTAAAAAAGGTGCCAGCAACATTATTGTCTCCCTGAAGATGAATATTGTAACAACCTTTGGCTAAAAACCAGAAACAGAAGAGAGAAAATGATTTGTTTCACCTCTGTTCAAGAAGGAGTGCTGTCAGTCCTTTCCCTTCTCCCCTGCCAACATGTCAGCAGCACTTTACAAAAATTATCCCAAAGACTTTCAATTGTATGGAACCCATCATACTGAGAAAAACCCAATTAGCAGGATACTGCTCAAGCAAATAGAGAGATACTATTCAGATTATTTGCAATGTAACTCAGAGCTCTGTTGTTTTACTAAATGAAATAATTTGTGCCATTGAATGTGGTATTTCAGGAGCTGACAAATCTATTTCCCACACTGACAAAGCCCCTAGGAAAGCTCAGTGGCACAACCACCTGAAGGATTTATTAGATGTAAGAAAGCCGACAGAGACATTTGAGGAATGAGTGTGTTGCACAGCTCCCGCCCATCTCTTTCTCAAGAACTACTAACGAAAACAGTAGCTGAACTGTTATTTCTTTGTGCTTACCAAAAAACCCACCAACACACAGGAAAAAACAGCAAATTGGAAAAAGGTTTAAACATCACTAAAGAAAAAGAGCTTATCTGAATACTGTATCATGCTGATAATCTGCCATCATGACTGTACCCAAGTGCCTTTAGTTTTGGCGCTTAAAAAAAACACAAAGGAAAACAAAACACCAGAAGAAAAAAAAATGAAAGCCAGATACTGAATCCGAGCAGAGCTTTGCGGAGTACAGACATCAGATGGCTGGGCTGGCTGAAATACAAAGAGGTAACTCAAATACCCTGTAACCTTGGTAGCCCCTAAGAGCTATGGTCTTAACAGGTTTGGGGTAGAAGATGACAAAATGTGAGGTTGCTATTGCAACTTTATTATTTGGCATCGTTTTGCAAATTTGGGGGAGGGGGTAGTTATATCTTGATCATTTCAGAAAGCAATTAAATTCTCAGCCATAAGGTACATTACAATGAAATCACATTTTAGAAAGGGGATGCCTAGGGGAAGATCAGAAGAGCTGAACAGAACTGCACAGTAATAATTTCTTCCTCACAACTTTTTATTTGTACGATACTCTCATTATCGCAACTTGTATTTGCGTGTGTGTGTAATTCTTCCCCAGGATTAAGCAGGGAAAGGCAAACATAAATGCCTGAAGTCTGGCCACAAAAAGAAAACAACAAAACCCAATCCTTCAGTACTTCAATAGCCAGAAGCCTTCTTTTTTTTTTAATCTGTTGCGTCCATTTGGGGGGGTGG